GCTATCGGGCTGCCCGTGGTGCAGGCTCTGCCAGTGGGCAAGCTGCTGTACGATCACATGTGCCACTTTGGACCCACCTTTGTGACCAACACCACGGGCCAGACGATATTTCCAACAAGTGTTACCCTATCTGACATACTGTCCTTCTATCTGGCTGGCAATCCGGCAACGCGTCTCAGCTCCATTGGGGGTGTCGAGGCGTTGACCTTCCTAAAATCGCCTCGATCACGCCGGCCCAGCGACTGGCCGGATCTAGAGTTTATATTCGTGGCGGGCAGTCTAGCCAGCGATGAGGGCACGGCACTCAAAATGGGCGCCAACTTCAAAGATGAGATCTATGACACGCTCCACAGGCCGCTGCAGCTGGCGAGTCAGGATCATTTCACGCTGCTTGTGATGCAATTTCATCCCAAGTCGGTGGGTCGTCTCTGGCTGCACAACCGTAATCCCTTCACCTGGCCCAAAATCGATCCCAACTATTTCCAAAATGAGGAGGATGTAGAGTACCTGCTCGATGGCATCAAGGAGGCCCTCCGCATCATTCAGATGCCAGCTCTCCAGGCACTGGGCGCCAGGCTCCTAGATCGCCCCGTGCCTGGCTGTGAGGATCAGCGCTTCGGCTCGGACGACTACTGGCGCTGCTCCATCCGCACCATGTCCTACACACTCCACCACCAGGTGGCCACCTGCCGCATGGGACCAGCCACCGATCCCACTGCTGTGGTCAGCCCGGAGCTGAAGGTGCACGGCATGCGCAAGCTGCGCGTCGTGGACACCAGTGTCATTCCCCTGCCACCCACCGCCCACACGAATGCGGCAGCCTTCATGATCGGCGAGAAGGCGGCCGACTTGATAAGAGACCATTGGCTTTGAGATTCAAGTGTGGCGGTCGAAACCCTGTGGCTGACGTAACGGAGGGATGGGCTCCAAGCTTGTTGTTTGCCTCGGCCAAGTTAATTAAATGAAATCGCCTAACATGATAACAGGAGGGCAACAGAGCGGGGGACGGGGGGAGCTGAGCTGAGCTGAGCTGGAGCCTGGGGGTTGACCGGCCGCAGAGTGCATTCACCCAGTCCCAAGTAACGAGGGTTGAAATACTTTCGTTTCGACTAGGCACAGCCACGATATACTTATCCAACGGGGTGGTTTGCATGCCGCCAGCCATGAAATAGTCAAAACATGAAAACTGAAACTTGCCAACGGATGCTGTTGGCTGTACCCAAAGCCCAACAGGGAGAGCTCGGCGGAGGCAGGTAAAGGGGGGTTGCGAATTGTTTAGCTCGCCCGTTGAACGGATGAAAAGAGTGCGGGGAGGGAGGGGGGGGGGAGGGTATAGCTAGTATGCTAGATGAGTTGACTTGCAGTCGATGGGGATGGTGCTTACAAGTGGTTATCAGTATGCAGGGGCAGAAGCAGAGGCAGAGGCAGAGGAAGCGGCTGAGAGGCAAACAAATTTCCCATTGTTGTTGTTTGTTCTGCTGTTGTGGTTGTTAGCCTTGTTGCGGGCAGCAAGGCAACAACACTTTCAATATGCATCATCGGGGGGCTTTCAGAGGGGGGCCAGCAACGTCAAAAATCGGGAATACCCCGAATGAAATCCTATTTTCAGTTTACAGCATTAGTTTTTAAGTACGGATCGTGCATTGATAACTCATAGATAGCAGTAAAAGGCCACACCATCTTATCTACACATAATTCAATTATATTATATACAGAAATCAATTCAATTGATTGGCTCACTGAGTGCTCCGCTGATAGGCTGATTTCAGGGTGATTAACATACGATAGGAAATGTAATAGCTGACCTAATGAAATATTTGCTCGTATCTGATTTGATTAGTGGTAGCCATATATGTGTATGTATATGTATCTGAAAGTCAATTACAGATTTCTAGACTAAGTTTGTGTTTGTATGTAGATATCAAGTATATGAGAATATTTTGATATATTCAAAATAATAGCTCGCAAATTCTTTTTATTATCCAAGTCTCTCTCATTCCTTTACTCACTTTCTCTCTCTCTCTTCCTGTCTCTCTCAGTCTCTATCTCTCTTTCTGTTACCCTCTCTCATTCTTTCTCTCTCTCTCTCTCTCTCCCTCTCTCTTTCTCTCTCTCCCTCTCTCTCTCTCTCTCTCCCTCTCTCTCTCTCTCTCTCTCTGTGCCTGTCTCTCTCTATCCTTCTCTAAGTTTCCCTCTCTCTCTATATGTCGCTTACTCACTCTCTATCTCTCTTACTCACTTACTCTCTCTCTCTCTCTCTCTATCTCTCTCTTTCTCCCACACCCTCTCTGATCTCTCTTATTCTTACTCCTTCTCACTGTAGTTAACTTTTGGCCTCTCTCTTCATCTATTCATCTCTCTCTATCTCCACCTCTGTCTCCCTCCCATTTATTATCATTCATTCTCTTACCCTCTCTCTCGCTTACTGTATATCTCTCAAAATTCCGCAATCTCAAAACAACAATCATTGCTTATTAGGCTTTGCAAATTGTTGATAAGATATATGATACCTGTTTATAAATAGGTTTTGCACATTCATTTATATCAATATTTATTTGAACTTCTTAATAGGCGGTAATTCCCCTCGATATATACTAAATATATATAGTATACAGATATGGCTAGTTCAATTTCACAGCTCTTGAGAAACAGCAAAAGTTTTCAGCAAATACTTCAAGTGCAGATCATAGCTATAAAGTATAAAGTATAATACACGATATGTGAGTAATCTACTACTAAAAGAGTCCCACAGCTAGCATACCCCACTTGCGCATAATCTTGTTGAGGAGTATGCGAAACAATTTCAAGCTAAGCGCCACGAAGTATGCAACGGAAAATGTAGCAGCTGCTGACTGTCAACAATGCGGATGGGTTTGCTTAATTACTGCATTTGAAATTGGTTTCCGAGGGTGCGACGCACAGTTGTAAAAAGGGCGAGAGTTTTATATACACATATGTGAAAGAGTATGAACTTCACTTGGTTACTTACAACTACTAGTTGAAGTTGAGACGAAATCAAGTCAGAAATTCGAGAGGAGACTTCGAGTCGATTATCCATAATTGTTTATTGTAATGATATATCTAAAGACAATCAGCTTGTGAGCTCACCTGAAACAATTAACGCCTCATTGGGGCCCGTTGTGTGTATGTTGCCCATGCTGGAAGACTTTGTCGTTGGGGCTGTCCTCCTAATTGGCTAATTCACTTTGAATCCTGTACGTTTGTGTACGATTGTCGGCTCCTCTGGACTCGGATCGAAGACTGCAGCAACAGCGATAAACAACAGAACAATATAGATATACGTATGTGTATGTGGCGTAAGTAAACAAAGGTGAAATAAAAAGAAATGAAGTCCGCTTCAAATCGAATTCAAGCAGGAAGCACTTTTTGTGCCGCGAGTGTTTCCGGTGCCGCCGCAGAGTATGCTACATTTATTTATACTTGCATCGGCACGCTGCGAGTTATTGCTTTCCCATATGTGTTTTGTTTTGTTTTGCTTTGTGCTTGCATTTACATGTTGGGGCGGCGTCAACAGCAACAACAACGATAACAACTTGTTCTGAGCAATTGAGCATCAAATGTGTAAATCACACTCACACATGCTCTTAATAGCGATTTTATCGAGCTTTTCTGTCCGCATCGCAAAAGTAAAATAATTCGAAAAAAAATTCCCTTGTTAATTGAATTATTTTATATAAATTTAATACGCTCGTTAAAAAAAAGAACAAGCTAAATCATCGCACCACCCAAACAACAGCCGCGTACGCCAAATAAAATTAGAACAGAAACAACAACAAAAACAACAGCGTGTAATGGCGTCCCATTGAACTGGTCTAGTGGCGGCCGCATGACGCAAACATTGAAGCATTTGGGCAGCGCTGCGGCAGCGCTGCGGCAGCGACGCGAAATTACTATTGCTGCGAGGATGTTTGACTTGTGTGCGTGTGTGTGAGCGAGTGCGTGTGCGTGTGATATTAAAAAATATGCATAAATATTGAGAGCAAACGCCGCTTATCATGAGCTCATCTTCGGCGCTTTTTTACATACATACATATACTTTGTTTAGAACAAAAAGCAGCACTAGTAGCAGCACAGCCTATGCAACAATAGAAACACACAAATTACTCACATATATGTACACACACACACACACATACATACGAGGAAAAAATAACCCCTAGCGGCCGCCTTTACTTCACATTCTAGTTGGGGTTGCTGCTGTGTGTCAAATTCTTATTGGAAGTAAACAAAAATTTGTATGCATTCTGTTATTGCCTGCTTATTGGTTTCCTATTGACGCCGCCTAAATCAGCAAACACTCAGCTAAAGTCACTCTCTGCAACGATCAACCGGCAATATAAAT